CGTCATCTGAGGGGTGTGTAACCTTCTCTGGGTAGAGGATGGCTTCTTTTTCTTTGTCTGCGATGATTGTAGAGCTGCCCTCTGTGCGTTGATAGCGATATGGTCCAGGGATCGCTCATCTGCCGCCCTCGGACTGCGTGCTGTTGCTGTATCTCTGGGATGATCAGCAGTGGCTCATCATGAAGTCATCTGATGGCCATCGGGACGATGTCTGCCGAAAGGTCCCTGTAGTCTGCGCAGGAGTCCCCGTAGAGCTGCTAGGCGTTGTAGGGGTGTGAGGCTTCATTCTGCGCAGAGGATGGCTTCTTCTTCTACGTCTGCGTTGAGGGGTTGTCCGATGTAAAAGCCAACGTCTTCGAAGTAATGCGGACAACATCCCACGCCCATCCTCTGAGGGCACCTATAGCAGGTCACTTGATGGTAGTAAGTCGTCTGACAGCAGTAGACAGCTCGTGAGGGACTCAGCCAGTTTATCCATGACTTGTAAAGTCACCTGGATCTGTCGGTAGTACGTCTAAGTACAGAGAAAAAATTATTTATTAAATTGAATTACTGTTAAATGCTGATAAAGATTACAGCTATAGCTGGAAATACATGTTGTTGTGCAGCTAGGGCACAGTCAATGCGGCTTTGCAGCAGCGAACCTAGACCTACAACGAAAATAGGTTTTCATGAAATGTAAACAACTGAACAAACACGGACAATTCCGTGAATAAACAGTGCTAAATACGATTAAATATCAAACCATATTGTTGAAGAATACTGACTTAACCTCTATAAAAGTAGAATAGAGGAGAATAACTAAGTAATTAATGGATATAGTGCCGTATAGGAGACACAGGCGCTCTCACAACCTGCCCACAGGGCGAAGAAGGAGAGAGTGAAGCATGGGAGTACTGTTGCGCCGCTTTCCCGCCAAAATGGCCACACAGATAATTCGTGGTGAGTAGGGATTTTACGTCTGTTCTTTATTGAAGGGAGCTTCGATAGGAGATACAAGTGTTCCACTAACGCTCGCAGAAGGAAGGAGACAAGCAAAAGAGCATGAGTCAGGATAAGGAAAAATTTATCATAATAAACAGTGAGCACTTTCCAGGACCCCAATCACATCACCATACATAACACAATCACCACATCACCATACATAACGCAATCACCACATCACCATACATAACACAATCTCCATGTCATCATACACAGTACAATCACTATGTCACACTGTCATACATACATAACACAATCTCCATGTCATCATGCACAGTACAATCACTATGTCACACTGTCATACATACATAACACAATCTCCATGTCATCATGCACAGTACAATCACTATGTCACACTGTCATACATACATAACACAATCTCGATGTCATCATACACAGTACAATCACTATGTCACACTGTCATACATACATAACACAATCTCCATGTCATCATACACAGTACAATCACTATGTCACACTGTCATACATACATACATAACACAATCTCCATGTCATCATACACAGTACAATCACTATGTCACACTGTCATACATACATAACACAATCACCATGTCACAATGACATCATACATACCACAATCACCATACTCAGCACAATCACCATGTCACAAGGACATCATACATAGTACAATCGCCATGTCACAATGACATCATACATAACACAATCACCATGTCACAATGACATCATACATAACACAATCACCATGTCACAATGACATCATACATAACACAATCACCATACTCAGCACAATCACCATGTCACAATGACATCATACATAACACAATCGCCATGTCACAATGACATCATACATAACACAATCACCATGTCACAATGACATCATACATAACACAATCACCATGTCACAATGACATCATACATAACACAATCACCATACTCAGCACAATCACCATGTCACAATGACATCATACATAACACAATCGCCATGTCACAATGACATCATACATAACACAATCACCATGTCACAAGGACATCATACGTAATACAATCGCCATGTCACAATGACATCATACATAACACAATCACCATGTCACAATGACATCATACATAACACAATCACCATGTCACAATGACATCATACATAACACAATCACCATACTCAGCACAATCACCATGTCACAATGACATCATACATAACACAATCACCATACTCAGCACAATCACCATGACACAATGACATCATACATAATACAATCACCATGTCACAATGACATCATACATAACACAATCACCATGTCACAATGACATCATACATAACACAATCACCATGTCACAATGACATTATACATAATACAATCACCATGTCACAATGACATTATACATAACACAATCACCATGTCACAATGACATCATACATAATACAATCACTCCCTCACCATGTCACCATACTCAGCACAATCACCATGTCACTAAAATATACATATCCTGACTTCTGGACTCAGTAGACGGATAAGCAGCTCAGTAACGCTGTAAACATTCTATTCCAGATAATTTTCTCTGAGGTAAGCCTTCAGAGAAGAACGGAAGATGTCAGGGTTTGTGGAAGTGCTGATGAAGAGAGATAGGGAGTTCTGCAGGGAAACAATTGAGAAAGATCTTTCCCCATATTCTGTTTTGGTGTCTGATACAGTTAAAAACTCAAATATATTTGATTGGCAAAGCTTAGGTTGCTACATGGCTTGAAGATACTGGGGATCGTGAATGTGAATGTAGGTAATGTCTTGCTGCTGGAACTTTTTATTCATGGTTTAACTGGCAACCAACGAAGACTATGATACAGTTGTGATGTGCAGGAATTAGTTCTTGTACTATGGGCTTTCTATCACAACTGCTTACACAAACACCTGACCATAGAAGGTGTTGATAGCGTTTTGATATTTCAAAATAAGCACAATTTGTAAAATTTGTAATTGAACAACAATATCTATTGTTGCATTATTCTTGGGACTATGCCATATACATTACTCTGTATGACTTATTCAGAACTTCACTCTGAAAGGTGTTAGATGTATTCCATGTGGAACTCTTGTGTTCCACTGGGAGGACCATGCTGTCACGTGGTCAGTTACTCGGTTCTACGTCCTACATGTAAAATATATTTAAAGACATGAACTAGGGTGACCCGTTTTAATTATGATGAATGTCACCCAAGAACAAGCTATTGAGCTGGTCTAGGTCATGGAGAGTAGAGTGAAGGTTATGAAGTGCCCAGTGTGGAGCTGACAATCGTATTGATCTCTCCAGGAACAACTCAAACCATTAACAGTCCTCCAGGAGCATGTGTGATTGCCTCTTTCTGCCAGTATAGTTTCTGACGTTCATGTACATTATCCAGAATAAAAGCAATTTGCTAATCAATGTCATTGTCAAAGGCTGCTCTGTGATAGACATCACTCGGGGAACCTGGCCAAAAGAAGTTGTGTATACAAATTGCTCTGATCTCAAAACAGCTTGCAAACCAATGAGAGGCAACTCCTTACATCCAACTCCTGCACGCAACATGCATTTCTATTTGTGGTAAACATACAACAGACTGATTTAATTGATGTGTATGGCATTTTATCCAAGTTTCCATGCTCAGGAGCAAAACATATTACAATATATCAGCCATGATACGCGTTGCACTCAATGATATCATCCAGCGTTGTACCATTATCAGACTGTAGAGAGTGGGAAATGATGGAAGCTCCTGGGATCTGGGAGGTAAAACCAAACAGCATATCTTACTCACCTTGATATTCAATAATCAAAATTTGGGATTTGATTTGGTTTTATAACATTTAACCATATTTATAGTCTCATATCTAATTTTAAACATTGTCTTCGATTTGCAATCTTCAATTTCCAGCTCTAACAAATCAAGCCCTCACTTTCTGATCAGTGTTAATGTAAACTCTATACTTGGATACAGGTGCCTGTTCACTTGTCACTGCAGCAGTTTGAGGGGTGTGAAGAGTTACTACACTCGTGTTTTGGTCATCAGCCAGACAACAGGCACCAAAGTTTCTTAAAGCCTATTTAATGAAGTGGCAGGGATCGATTTAAAAGATGTTAACCTACCTGCACCAGGTGCAACCTAAGATATAAACCTGGTTGCACCAGCCAATTCCAGTTGCACTGCTTTTACTGCAATGTGTAGATGCAATTATTTAGATGTTTCATTCAGAAGTTTACCCACTCAAAAAGTGACTTGCACCTGGTGCAAGTTAGACTAATAACTACGTTGCACTTTGTAATATCGGGTTGCACTAGTGCAAGTAACAAAGCACTAATTCCAGCCCTGTCTTGCAATTGGAAATATGCAACAAAAATGTATCTAACATGATGCTTATTTCAGTAGCTTATGGCAGTCAAGATATACACTCCTAAATATAGAAGAGCTATCAACATCATCAACATTAACATAACATATTAGATTTGGGATTACTTTCTCCTTGTTGCCACTGTAGTCTGCTTCCAACATCCCAAGCTGTGCCTGACGGCAGATCTGGTCAGCTTTCATTTTAACCAATGAAGCAAAATCTGAATTCAAGGACAGTATTTAGAATAAATGTGACAAATCAAAGAACATCGTATTTGCTCAGGAAATTCCATTTGCGATAACAACTATTAAAACCTCCCAGTGACAAGGCACATTATCTATGATAAGTTATAGAAGTTTCTTGCTGATGTCCTTGAAGTGACAATCAAAAGGCCTAACACTGGACAGTGTCGTAGTGGTTGATGGCCTGATTGATTGCGCTGTGTAAGCAGATAGTGGCAGCAGGCCACAGACAGACTTCCCATGTTATCTGCCGTACAGCTGGTCTTGTTGAGAAAATCTGTATTGATCACTTCATAATCCACTCCTTCCTGTGCCCACTTGCAAACAATCTTCTTAATGGGATTAGTAGAAAGGTATCTTTTCTTCACAGCACCCTGATTTCTACTCAGAACGACCTCCATGACTTCCAAGTGGGCATGGGTGTGAGTTGAACCTATCTCCTCCTTTGGTGCTGCTAGTAGAATAAGTAATTCATGCCATTTGACCTAATCAAGACCATGTATTTGTAGATGGCCCCTAACATGCCATCACATTGATTACTGCCAACAGTCAGGATGGACAAGTAGAGGGAACTTATTGACACTACACTCCAGCACACACAAAAACCACAAACTCAAACATGAAGCGTGCACACAAACAGTTAATTCCATGTGCACAAATGTGCCTTTCCTCCATGCATCATCAAAACAAGTGCAGTCATCGGCACATGTTCCAATGGCCCATGGTTAAACTGTCTTGAAACTGGTATTCCTGCATATGTTTCCCTCCCCTTGGTTCCTCGTCAGTAGGATGGATGTCACTATTATATGAAAGCGTATTAAAAACACTGACAAATCAATACAAATTATCAACAAAATGCCTTCTGATCTTTGACGCTTCATTTCGTCTTTTGTTATCTTGGACAGCCATTCTTAACGATATGGATCAGTCCTTATTTGGCACATTTACCTTGTTGACATGGCTGCCAACTTTCCCCAGTTACAACCAGTCATTCATTACTATCTACTGGACATTATATCTATGATATATGGTCTACACTACAATGTACATATATAGTCATGTAATTCTTACAAGTTACATTCAGTTGATAATTTTATCAATTCCTATTTCTACAAAAGCTTTACAAGTAGGGTGTTGCGATTGGACAGATGCAACACTATAAAGAGACTTGATGCTCTTATTGGAATAAGGCCAAATTATGGCCCTGTATTGACCAGTATCTATGAATAAATAGTCCCATATTTTCCCCATACATAGTCATACTATTCATACAAATAAAGCATGAAATTGTACTTTCATTAATAATGCATAATAAATCTAACACAACTGGGACAGCTGACTGTAATGTTAATAAACTAAAAAATTATAGTTTATTTGGCCAGGACACAAAGATGAGACATTATAAGACCTTGTATCTATAGCACTGCAACTAATAGCTGTCAGAAAACACACAGTGTGCAAGAGGTGGGTGATATGGTCAGAAGGTGCCACACATATGTACACTTACATCAGTAAGTGTGTGTTACGCCAAGTGCACATCCTCCCTGCTGCTGATGCTGTGTTCTATCATAGCTCATAACCCCTGTGCAGCCTTCTATACAAGTGCATGTCAGATTGAAAGCTGCTGCATATCTGTAAACATGGCAGTACACACATAGTTATCAACAGATGCCCGCCAGTATATACCCCCCATCCACCCCAAACAGCATGCCTACACCATGTACACTGCTGGACTACAGTACCCCCACCCCAAACAGCATGCCTACACCATGTACACTGCTTGACTACAGTACCCCCACCCCATCCCGCCCCAAACAGCATGCCTACACCATGTACACTGCTGGACTACAGTACCCCCACCCGGCCCATACAGCATGCCTACACCATGTACACTGCTGGACTACAGTACCCCCCCCACCCCCCCACCCCATACAGCATGCCTACACCATGTACACTGCTGGACTACAGTACCCCCCCCACCCCAAACAGCATGCCTACACCATGTACACTGCTTGACTACAGTACCCCCACCCCATCCCATACAGCATGCCTACACCATGTACACTGCTGGACTACAGTACCCCCACCCCACCCCACCCCATACAGCATGCCTACATGTACACTGCTGGACTACAGTACCCCCACAGCATGCCTACTGTACTGCTGGACTACAGTACCCCCACCCCACCCCAAACAGCATGCCTACACCATGTACACTGCTGGACTACAGTACCCCCACCCCACCCCAAACAGCATGCCTACACCATGTACACTGCTGGACTACAGTACCCTCCCCCTGCCTACACCATGTACCAAACAGCATGCCTACACCATGTACACTGCTGGACTACAGTACCCCCACCCCACCCCAAACAGCATGCCTACACCATGTACACTGCTGGACTACAGTACCCCACCCCCACCCCACCAACAGCATGCCTACACCATGTACACTGCTGGACTACAGTACCCCCACCCCACCCAGCATGCCTACACCATGTACACTGCTGGACTACAGTACCCCACCCCACCTCACCTGTAGCATGCCTACACCATGTACACTGCTGGACTACAGTACCCCACCCCGCCAACCATGTACACTGCTGGACTACCCCCAACCCCACCCCCACCCCCAAACAGCATGCCTACCCATGTACACTGCTGGACTACAGTACCCCCACCCCGCCCCAAACAGCATGCCTACACCATGTACACTGCTGGACTACAGTACCCCCACCCCACCCCAAACAGCATGCCTACACCATGTACACTGCTGGACTACAGTACCCCCACCCCACCCCAAACAGCATGCCTACACCATGTACACTGCTGGACTACAGTACCCCACCCCCACCCCAAACAGCATGCCTACACCATGTACACTGCTGGACTACAGTACCCCCACCCACCCCATACAGCATGCCTACACCATGTACACTGCTGGACTACAGTACCCCCACCCCACCCCACCCCAGCATGCATGCCTACACCATGTACACTGCTGGACTACAGTACCCTCACCCCCACCCAAACAGCATGCCTACACCATGTACACTGCTGGACTACAGTACCCCCACCCCACCCCAAACAGCATGCCTACACCATGTACACTGCTGGACTACAGTACCCCCCCACCCCAAACAGCATGCCTACACCATGTACACTGCTGGACTACAGTAGTACCCACCCCGCCAACCATGTACACTGCTGGACTACAGTACCCCACCCCCCAAACAGCATGCCTACACCATGTACACTGCTGGACTACAGTACCCCCACCCCAAACAGCATGCCTACACCATGTACACTGCTGGACTACAGTACCCCCACCCCAACCCCAAACAGCATGCCTACACCATGTACACTGCTTGACTACAGTACCCCCCACCCCACCCCAAACAGCATGCCTACACCATGTACACTGCTGACTACAGTACCCCATTCCCCACCCACTTCCAGCATGCCTACACCATGTACACTGCTGGACTACAGTACCCCACCCCACCCCAAACAGCATGCCTACACCATGTACACTGCTGGACTACAGTACCCCCACCCCACCCCATACAGCATGCCTACACCATGTACACTGCTGGACTACAGTACCCCCACCCCACCCCATACAGCATGCCTACACCATGTACACTGCTGGACTACAGTACCCCCCACCCCACCCCAGCATGCCTACACCATGTACACTGCTGGACTACAGTACCCCCACCCCACCCCATACAGCATGCCTACACCATGTACACTGCTGGACTACAGTAACATAGAAGGACAATACCTCAATGGTTCTGTGTGCTTTTTAAATCATGCATGAAGTAATCACACCTTTAGCTCATGCCTGATTCAATTTTCAAACCAAACCAACAGAGTTCTGCACAGCAACACCCACAATGCAAGCCTTGCACAGCATAAACAGGCTTCAGTCATGTTTCAGTCATGAGGCACATTGAAGAGAAAGTTTGTGCGTTTTTCTTACAAATGTTGTACAAAAGACTAATTGTAAGCTTGATCAGACCGAGGCCAAGGTATATTAAAGCCTAGATAACAACATAAATATGTGTCATCCGTATCACGTCAATCCCTATCCTACCCAGAGTTCCTTGCTGTCACCTGAGTAACTTGTCACATCATCACATGTTTCTCATTGATTTACTTTAGACAAGACTACCACACATAGAGAAACATATGTCATGAAATGTTTAACTTTTAATGAGAAAATATCCTAAAACGTGAACACGTATTTACATTTGCTTCTTGATCCTCCAAGTGTTATCATCGAAGGCCTATGGAGAGCAAGTAACATTTCCCTGTATAAAGTTATAACGTCATGCACTTCACTGTTGCAGTTGTATATCCATAAAATGATACAAAACGATCTGTGAAGCGTATCAAAAGGCTTGCATGGGGCCCATCTTCCCTTATTTCAGAGTCTGGTCATGTGATAAGTCAACACCTGCTGAGTGCAGAAACTACCAATGATAATACCAAACAAAAATTATTTCATGTTCTTAAAGTTCAGAGTACATACTTAATATTTCTCATATTCTTATTACAGGTACTGGATACTTGCTCCTCACTGCGATAACAGAAGCATGGCTACAGATACTGGGGACTTGCTGGGCCTACTTCTCCCTGTGTCCTCACTGTGATAACAGAAGCATGGCTACAGATACTGGAGACTTGCTGGGCCCACTTCTCCCTGTGTCCTCAGACTTGCTGGGCCCACTTCTCCCTGTGTCCTCACTGTGATAACAGAAGCATGGCTACAGATACTGGAGATTTGCTGGGCCCACTTCTCCTTGTGTCCTCACTGTGATAACAGACGGATGACCTCAGATACTGGAGACTTGCTGGGCCCACTTCTCCCTGTGTCCTCACTGTGATAACAGAAGGATGGCTACAGATACTGGAGACTTGCTGGGCCCACTTCTCCTTGTGTCCTGTGTCCTCAGATACTGTGATAACAGAGACGGATGACTACAGATACTGGGGACTTGCTGGGCCCACTTCTCCCTGTGTCCTCACTGTGATAACAGAAGCATGGCTACAGATACTGGAGACTTGCTGGGCCCACTTCTCCTTGTGTCCTCACTGTGATAACAGACGGATGACTACAGATACTGGAGACTTGCTGGGCCCACTTCTCCTTGTGTCCTCACTGTGATAACAGAAGGATGACTACAGATACTGGAGACTTGCTGGGCCCACTTCTCCTTGTGTCCTCACTGTGATAACAGAAGGATGACTACAGATACTGGAGACTTGCTGGGCCCACTTCTCCTTGTGTCCTCACTGTGATAACAGATGGATGACTACAGATTCTGGGGACTTGCTGGGCCCACTTCTCCCTGTGTCCTCACTGTGATAACAGAAGGATGACTACAGATACTGGAGACTTGCTGGGCCCACTTCTCCCTGTGTCCTCACTGTGATAACAGACGGATGACTACAGATTCTGGGGACTTGCTGGGCCCACTTCTCCCTGTGTCCTCACTAACAGACGGATGACTACAGATAACAGACGGATGACTACAGATTCTGGAGACTTGGGCCCACTTCTCCTTGCCCTGGGATGACTACCACTTCTCCCCTGTGTCCTCACTGTGATAACAGATAACGGATGACTACAGATACTGGGGACTTGCTGGGCTTCCACTTCACTCCCGGATGACTACAGATGTCCCACTTCTCCCTGTGTCTCACTGATAACAGAAGGATGACTACAGATACTGGAGACTTCTCCCTGTGTCCCTCACTGGGCCTACTTCTTCCTGTGTCCTCACTGTGATAACAGAAGGATGACTATAGATTCTGGGGACTTGCTGTCCCTGGATTATAAGATTTTATTCTTTTAAGGACGAGGAAGAAGAGATGGTGAATGGAAGATGTACACCTCTATCAAGTCATGGTAAGACAAATGTTATCTCAATTTTCTCTCCCTCATTGGTAATCACGTTAGAACAGATCCCAAGTACAACATTTTTTTTAAAAAGGCGATTAAATTGAATCAGATTATCGAAATCAAAATTGTACCAAACAGTATTCCATTAATGCAAAACACTGCTCATTATGTCAGACTCTGGTTTGTCAGGTTTAGATTAATTTATTCACAAGCCACCTTCAGATAGCTGGAATACGTCCGAATGCAATATTCATTCATCACCAGAGTACCGTTATGTAGAAAGGGCTTTACATCAGGGCTGAGTTGCCAGCTTGGGGAGCAGGGCATACACAAAATACTTCTCATGATTAACTTAAAACCTCAATGCAGCTCAGTGAGAAAACAATTACTTCAACTGTTCAAAATGTGTGTCTTATTTGAGATAAACCTGTGTTGAAGATTTCCACAGTGTTGATCCTACATGTTAGCCTGAGGTAATATCAACACTGACATGACAAGGGCAGATGTTTACAGGTATAAAACATTAATTGTTCAATCATCGCTAGATCAATTGTCCTTTTGTGGTTAGTAACCATGATTTCAAATGTAAACAATATACTTGTTGAATAAAGTATTCATTTTCACAATATACATGCCTTAAGTTTTCTATCTGGGGTAGTCAATTTCAATTTTTTTACTACCAATTTATAAGTACTTGGTAACCTTTAACAGCAGCTCTGTTGTCCTTGTTAATGCTGTATCAGACATCTTTATCTATGAAGCATATACAAAAACATCAACACATCTCCAAACACCATGATGAAACAGTTCTGTGTTGTTTGTCATAACACCAGTTCACACACCCAAGTGAAAACATATCTTTTCTGGTTAACTTATTTGCATTTATATGTCACTGGGGTCTAAATTCTTAATATAAATCATATTTTTTTCAGAGTATTTCTATTTTAACCTATAATTTGAAACAAAGTCAAGATAGGGTCGAAACAACATTTGTTCCTATAGTGTGGAGATATTTGTTTGTTTGGGCTTTTTGTTTATTTGTCCTTGTTTATTCCAATGTTCTGAAATGTAAGTAGGGAATTTTACAGAGACAGTACTCACTGTGTGTCACAGCTCTGGGGAAAGTCTCATCTATATAGAATACTCTCCCACGCTTATACTGGGGATACGTAGAGAAACAAATAAACGAACACAGGAAAATTCAAGTGTTCCTTTAATACTTTCCAGTTGTCATCACCAGCTTTGAATAGCACTATGGATTTGAAAACTGGAAAATAATAAAGGAACACTTGAATTTTCCTGTGTTCCTTTATTTGTTTCTCTACGTATAGAAGCTTGAGGAAACTGAGCTTTTCTTTTCCACAAATGAGTCATTTTCTTTTACATAAGAAATCAGGTTTTACCTGTATGTAGAAATTTCTTTTCTTTGTGTGAACAAACATTATTCTGTTGCTATACCTGCTGTGTGAGTGTTTGCTTATTTATTTATTAACATGAAAAATCATCATCAAATTTATATGAAAACAGTACACAATGAACACTGTACAATAAACTCAGTCTATTTAGTGAATGAGTATTTTCTTTCAATGTGAGTAATTTGACAGTTGGGGATGTCAGAAATGGACTTCACATTCTGTTTCGGAGAATCAAACACTAGGTTTTATCATGAGGAGCAAACGATTAAACCATAAGGCTACCTCTGTCCCCATTATCTGGACATCAATGGTCTGGAACAAGTAACAAAGCTAATACATGCATTAACAACATGATGATCACAGTGGAACTGAAAACAATGCACTTCACATAAATATCATTCCCATCAACAAGGACCTGATCATATCCACATATTATATCATGTCCCAGCATTCCCCATCTATCAACATTTGGTGCATTACAGGTAACACAACAACCGGAGGTAACCAGTACAGTTCACATTGTAATACTTGTTTTCTGACATGCGAGAAGGATTGCAGTTAATATTCCCCGAGGCATTGATTGATAAGGTTGTAATTCCCTGACTATGTTCTAAATCCTGCCAACCTCTGTCACAAACAGCTGCTGACCTGATACAATTACATGTCCCTGTACGTCCATAATTTATTGTATAAAATAAATAAAATATGCCACTCTCCCTTGGTTGGTATATATATAAATATATACATCTAAACCGAATATACTGGCCCTGATGTGGTCATGTTAAAAGTGTTTACCAATCACGCCTCAGACCGAGGTTTTATTAATTCTTGACTTGTGACATCAGTGCCTGGTCACCCACCCTTCCCCCATGGAATCTCATAACTTGCAACAGCCACGTAAAAGCTACTTATCCATCTGCCTGTAGCAAGACTAAGTTTGACAGCCATGTCATGTCGTTGTAAGTCTTAGACCAAACATTGTTCAATCTCATCCATATCTCATATTTTAATTACAACTCATGCCTTTCTGCATAAAGATCTGAGGGTCATGGCTAACTTTGAGCCAACATTTAATCCTCTATCAAAATGAAGGATGTGTGGGTACTTTAACAATTCAGATGGCAGCTTCCAAAAACAATCTGGCTCCATTCCTCAACATCAATTTGAATTGTTTTAATCTGACAAAAGAAAGTAAACCTAAAGAGCACACGAATATTGTTTTGATTGAACTTCCAGGACAATACATTGGCACAGAGTTTATTATCTTCATTCACAACTGCACATTTTCGGTTCAAAATCAGGATACAAAAATCATCTATGCTTGTGTGACTGATTCACTCAGTCATACTGGGATCGAGGAAGCCTGAACACTGATTAGAAAGTTCACCCAATGTATATGAGAGGAAGCGATCTGCAGGAGTTTGAACAGTGCCACTAGTAGTAGCAATACTAGCATGATGTCAGTAGACTAAAGCTTATAGTCTCTGAATATATATAATTTTGACAGTGACAAATAAACCCATTTAAATTGAAAAGGAGCCCCAGTGAGTTGGGAGATTCCTGACCCTGGGGAAATCTAGACTTGCTTCATTTAGGGCTTTCAGAGACACTCGGCATTAGGGAAAATAATGTGGTTTAGGCACTGTGAGACAGACTAGCACTTCAGTGACACCATGTATCCTTCTTGGGAGACTTTGAGTGATGCATCTTGCTTTAGAGATTACCAACTTGAAAGTATCAAAAAACATAAACGAAACCATGGATTTGTTTCAGTTGGTTTTGCCATAGAAACTGGATTGCTGAACAAACTAACAAAACAGACTAAGCTTGTAATAGACATGTGCTTCAGGCACCAGAGCCAGTTCATGCTATGGATGGCTGCAAACTTCTGCATCACTTACAAGACTTCAATCACTGTTTCAATATTTCCATTTAAAAAATACAAAGCTTTGAGATTTTGACGAGATTCCGTTTTTTCTCAGCTCGGTGACACAGTCTGGTTGGAAATGTCCTGCACACTAGGCCTCATGTCTGGAGTCAGCTGATTTGCTGTTTGACATGTCAGTTTTGGACCCTGTCCTACCAAGTTGTGTAACCAACCATGGCGTTCACCGGAGGATGAACACTTCCAGGTGACTGACAATGGAGCGTCAGACAGTATAGTCAGTCAGAGGTCAGAGGTTAAAGAGGGCAGACAGTCCCCCCGCTACAGGGCCACTGCCCTGGGAGGTCGCCTGCTCATCCCCCGCACACGATCTTCCTACTTGAGTTCACCGCTACATGGAACCGCGGGGAGAACACAGGAGTTGTGGTGGTACATCGATTATCTGGAGTTTTACTGACAACTGCTGTCACTTTCAACCTATATATACACAAACACAACACTCCACACCGACCAATGTGGATCTTCAAAAATAACACAGAGCTTACCTTAAGTCTGATCGCAATGCACTAATAGAATGGTCCATGGTTTGTTATGTGAAACACGCACGGCTCTACCAGCCACTATTCGAACACGTGAAGGAAGAACGATGTTCACTGGCTCCCATTCACATAGATTATACACGATTAGTGAAAAAAGAACACAATCATAATAAACTTACTCTGTTGGCTATATCCGTGTCACAGATTTTTGGATCTATCCTCACATTTCTGTCTCGCTGAGATATAAGCCCAGCTGTTTCGCCGTTCTCCACGTCTCCCTCCGACATTTTGACTATAGCCAAGTCACGTGATTTTGCTTTCACGTTCTGGGAGCCTGCCCGCTAGATGGCAGTGATCTATTTGTAGTTCTCGCCTTAAAAAAGTCAGGTAAAATATTCTCATAAAATTCAGTAGACCACCTAACTGTGACGTGTGTCACTGAGTGGTATATCGTATTTCCGTGTGGTTTCGTGATGTGGTTTATAATTAATGAATGCATAGGAATTAACTTGCATTAATGTAATGGTTTACAAAATATAGGAGATAATTTAAGAGGCAGGCCTATCCTGACATTTGCTGACAACTTAATGAATAAAAGGCTACCCCTATTCGGTGGCAAATGTGATACGTCCTTTGTGCGAGATTAGATCTACTCTGAATTATCATAGAGACAGGTATTACTTCAAGCCAGGTGTTTACCAGCCCCATAAATTGCAATATATCGAAATGAAATCTCACGAAATCATACAAATACACACGTCACTACTTGAATCTTATTAAATGATACCACGCTGCAAACTATGGCCTTGATCGATATCCATGCAAGGTGATTTCAAGGAGACATTTTAATACTGTATTTACCGATCCCCCATTCTGTGCTGAAATTACCCTGAAAGTGAGCGGCGGAGCGTTTTTGATAAATACGCCACAGGTAGGTTTAGTCAGCAATATTCCAGCTACATCACGGGTGTCTGATAAGCCCCGATAAACCATGACTGAAAACAGTGGTCAGACACGACATGACACACCGAATCAGCCATGTCACAGAACCTGGCCCATATCAGTTTTCTTGTGGACTTTTGTGACAATTAATTATAGTTGTTGGACTTTTACAAAGGTGTGACAGCATGCATGGGCAATTACCTTTGGAGAAGACATTGTGACATATTCCTTATTGCCTTTGCCATGGAGTATCATCTTGTGTCATTGTATCTTTTGCTGAAGAAGACAATATTGACAGGATACATGGATACATGAGTGTTAAGTGTAACCAGCACATCATCCGTTGTATATACATCGTGATATACTCAAATTCAAAAGAAACGTTGCCCGTAGTATGCAAGGGCATTGGCACCTGAGATTCACCGCTAACAACCGCCAACAGAAGTCTGTTATTGGTTCCAGCTGCCAGGGTGGCATTAGTCGACGCTAGTATAGGTGGCGTTGACACATTGGCAACAAGATCCCCTGCGACCAGAGCGTGACACTCTCATCACCGTCCTGGTATCACTGCTACCACCAGCATGCGACCATTAGAAGAATGTTGAATAACACGGTCCAGAATTATTATGTTCCTTTCGGGGAAGCACCGCCTGTAATGCAAAATCCTCAAATGAAGCTTGCCCAGATTTCCTAGGGCTCCTTTTCTATTTACATGTAATTTGTTTCTCACAGAGCTATCTAAGCGTTAAACTAAAACGCGTCCTGCACAAACCAGATGTGTTGATGAAAACAAAGCCTTCATGACTTTTTATTATTCTTTTATCTGCTGTGTTATATATATTTCTACGTCGTCAACAGTGGCTGTCTCACGATCGTATCAGGAACCTGACTGTACTGACTGACGACATTGCGTTATTTAACTCCCGCACGTCTCCGAATACTAAACAGCAGGACGCAGAAGATGTGACAGCTATGCCCATAGGGATCTCGAGGCCAAAAACAATGTTTTGAGACGAAGAAGTTTGTAATTTCACGCACGATATGGGATCGATGTCGACATTGACAAACGTAAGTCTCCTTGGAGACGTATGAAGCTTTCTGCAAAGAGAAAACTTCGCACATTCGATGCAGAGATATCCAATCTCAAGCAATAATGACAAGAAACCTTAGTTTCACTGTGAGGAATTTAAAAGCAGTCCGATGCAGCGACAAATACCCATTAGATTTCAAGGACTTTCATAGTCGGTTCCGTTTCAACAAGCTTTGAACACAAAAATTGTGTTGTCTGAGACACTGAAACCAGCAACTCACCACAATAGGTGTCTAACAGCATCTCTGTGATGTCTTATTGCGCTATGTTTTTATGCCGCTGTGTATTTCAAGTACAGTTTGCGGTACCGAATGTCCCTCAGACCAGAGTTTGGGTTAGAGGGTTAGTAAGGTACAGGCTGTGTTTCGGCGGAGGTGTATTCCAATGCAACCAGAACTAGGGTCAGGCTTGTAACGGCAACTTTTCATTATGTGACGCTGTTCCCGACCGCGATCAGGACAGATCACTTCAAACATATGCCTGTCTCGCCTCTGAGTGAATGGTGCACTGAGGTGAACCCGGAAAGGGTTTCAACACAAGAGTGATCTGTGACCATTTGCCATAAAGCACAAATATCTCTGCAGGATGTACAAGGTGACTCTAGAATCTTGTATGAGAGCAGAATTAATGACAGTGTAACTGACGACATACAAGGATACCTCTAAGGAGAACTTATGTATCCATATTTGTCATTTGTGCTCACTCTGTGGATCCATAATCTGTGTACCGACCCATATAATGTTGGCATTGTACTGTGCTAATATTCAGCGCTTCACTTTAAATGGCAAACTACCTTTAACCTGATTTTTATTTAATGATGATATTTCATACCCAACATGTATATCATAATGCAGCCTACCCAAATGACGCTCACAGACGGCACGTGGTGTATGGACATTGTAAGTACCTCTGTGATATGCCGTTGAGTATATACGCCAATATGTCTTCTGCTTTTACTCCACTATAGTGAACGTGCTACTTCCATCATTCTGGGTGTATGGAATACAGGCATTTATCTTTGAACATACTGAAACCCTCGTTGACGTTAAGATTGCATGGTCGTCACCGGTGTAATGACCAAACCTTGCAGTATGTTAAATATCCAAATATAGACGGGAAATCATTGACTTGTAATTGTAGCTTGTGGAAATATGAAAGGTGATTTTAACTGTTACGCGGCACATTCCTTCCAAGTGGCTGATTTCACTCTTAATTCAGAAATCGAATGCACTTGTGCAATGTTCAGAATACAATGGATTCGCGGCAAGAAGGTCTGCAGATCAGCAGATACAATATTTTCTTTTCACATCATGCAAAATGGCTTGGAAGAGGCGAATCTCGATCTGGATTAATGAACATGGTTCCACTGTTGCGTCAAGACGTTTACATGTATGTGCCTCTTCAAAGGAACTAACATAACAAAGATCTGTAAACAGTACAATCTATAATAACCCAGATGTTGGAACGTGTTAACACCATAAAGGCTCACCACGGTTTCATGTAAATTGTGAAAAAGGCAACAACACTTACAGGTTTGAACTCATTTGGGCAAATAAAAGCATATGAACATATGCGTCTTGAGTATACGCGATGGACTTGATGAGTTCCTAATCTATATGTAATTGAGGACCACAGAGCTTCCTATCTCAATAATGAGATCGAAGCTCTCCATACAGCGGCCTAATTCCATCGTTCTAGGTTACTTAGTCGAAGATACAACAAAATGATATACCGGGCTTCTATTATATTCGAGTTTCCGGGTACTAGTAAACAGACTCGTTGAACACAAAACAACCCGGTGTTTTCTATGTAATCGTAGTGAAGGTTATGTTGCAGAAAATATACAATTTTCAATGTAATTACAATGTTCCTGGTTTATCCAAGAACGTATACCCAGGAATGGACGTGCTTCCTCAGCACAATGTGTTGTTACGTGCTGATCCTCAAGTTGACACAGTAACTGGAAATTAGTTTCTAAAAGAACTCGGCGTGAAACCAACAAACACTAAAGAAATGTGATATAATCCTACAACTGTATTCTAACTGTTACACAATGAATAACACTGTCACGTAACAGTGTCATCTTCAAATAATAAATAACAGACTGGGGTCCTTAGTGCAAGTCTCAATTTACCTACGCCCCTTTCACAGAACAAAACAGTTAAGGAAAGAACAAGAACTAGAAACTGGCGGGATGTAAAAGTCCAAGAATTCTCCTATGCACAATGGAAAGAGAATGTTAGAACGACTAGAGCTGTGTTCCATGATATTTGGCCCTGTGTTATCCTTGACCACAATGGACAGATCAGCTCCCACCCATGTTACCTGGCCTCTTCTGTATAGTATGGAAACTGTTTGGAATACACCATTTTACAGCCTGTGTTATCCTTCATGAGGTCTATTAAGACAGTGACCTCAAAGACAGGTTTCCACAATCAGGGGGGAGGCTATAGATACAACTCACATCCCAACCATTGATCCCCACTATGCTTGTGTTGATTACATTAAGCAAATCCTGGTGTTTGCTAATTATGCAGGCTGTCTGAGGACTGCTCCAGGTTTACTGATGTGTGTAATGGCTGGCCAGGGTGCGTCCATGATGCCACATTATTTCCGATTTGCTGCAGTTGGTCAGGGTCGTTTCCTGTCAGCATCACCAGAAGAGATTCACCGTGTAGACGATGGGAAGATATAAATCAAGACGTTGATATGACTCTCGTTTTGATAGGCGACCCAACCTACCCCATGTGTTTCCGGCATATGACGACGGTGGAGGTTGATGGAGAGAGTTTCTCAAAACAATAGATGTGAATGTGGACTTTGTTTCAGCACTAACTGCACAGTATCTGCACAGCATCTGTGTGAAGCAAACTGAAAATGACGAGCTTCATCCTGATTGTTCAAATATGAATACAAACTACATCAGGAATATGCCGGATACAACAATGTCAACGGAACTACCATCGCGCACCAACAATACACAGGCCTACTACAAAATGTACATCCTCTACAATACTTGCTGATTTCAAACTTCAGTATGTGACTAGCGTGCACCCAGCATTGTGGCAAACACAGTCAGTCACTCACTTCTGAAGTGTTCCTTCAGTGAACAGGGGTTTTAAAGAAATTATGACTCTTACAATGTTGTTGTATATATAAGACAGCGAGTTTGGGTTAGCGCTGCTTTGAACGGTATTTCTGTCATATCAAGACGTGCCAGTCTATTTTTGGATGAAAGTAATGTATATCTGATGCTAAACGTTTATGGTTAGCCATCGAGTTTTG